ACCAGAACGTCTTAGTTTGTGTAGTGTTAGGCAGCTGCATTGCTTTCCCCCAATCAAAACAGCAACAAAACATAGCCTGAGGAGTGTGTAGTGTTTGCATCTTCTACATTCTAAGATGGCTAGAATCCATCGAGTTGGACACACACACACACACACACACACACACAAATAAATCCCTAAACAAGATTAATCTAACTGGATTTCTAAACAAAGGGAGCCACCTATGGGTAGGAGATTTGTATGTTGTCAACTGCCTCCCTTACAGAATGATTTATCACTAGCAGTTCCAAAGATTGTTTTGCTCATTTATTATTTATCTCCATTAGGTTTTTGTTAAGAGAAGACTTGGCCAAGCAGCAACTATGGTTTTGGTTTTCTGTCACTAGAGGATTGCTCAATACACTGACCTAAGAAGGTTCAATGCCCACATCAAACAGCCACAGTACTCTATGCAGAGAACATAGACCTAATCCGAAACATGCATTTTCAGGGATCTTGGTCCACATAAGGCAAAACAAGATAGTTCTTGATAGAAATCAGGGTAGGAATGTAAAAGCAGGAGAAGCCAAGATTGGGGTGATGCTTTAGCAAGTGTGAATATGGATGATGCAGTAGTTAAGAGGAGGCAATAAACAAAAGGAAGGATAGGAGTTGGGAAGAACAGGTATAAAGCAAGGCACATGGGACACTGAGCTTGTTGATCAGAAAGATTGGCAGTTTGGTGGTTCGAATCCCTAGTGCCGCATAAAGGAGTGAGCTCCTGTTACTTGTCCCAGCTTCTGCCAATCTAGCAGTTCGAAAGCACGTAAAAAATTCAAGTAAAAAATAGGGACCATCTTTGGTGGGAAGGTAACAGCATTCTGTGTACCTTTGGTGTTTAGTTATACTGGCCACATGACTACGGGGACGTCTTCCTACAGCGCTGGCTCTTTGGCTTTGAAATGTAGATGAGCTCCACCCCCTAAAGTCGGGAACGGCTAGCACATATGTGTGAGAGGAACCATTATCTTTACCTAAAGCACACTTGTCCTGAAACGGTTTTGTAGAACTTCCAGAATGTGACTTACTTCAAAATAGATCATATTTTCAGGGTGTGTGTGTGTGTTTGCATGGCCTATTATTAAACTTATGTCTATTTGAGCTGAAGTAAACAAAGCTGACAAAGCCAAAGCATGTCACCAATGGATTTTTCCTCCCAAGTGAAGCTCAGCTAGTCTAGCAGACTATCTCCCTTCAGGAATCAATTTTAGATGAACTTGTTCACCCAGGTGCTAAAAGCTAAGTTACAACCAAACTGCTTGCTTTTAAAAAAGAAATACATTTTCATTTATTCTTTAGAAGAGTGTTCATTTTATTGTGATTTGTTTCAAAGCACTACTACACTTATTCTCTTACAAATAACTCTTCTGAAATGAAGAACAGTCTAAAAATAAAATGATAATTAATAATGGTAACAATAACAGTAACAACATGAAAGTAGTACAATATGTTCACTTTTAGTCTGTCTTTGAGAAGTCAGATTTCCTGTTTATTAGGGCTGGTTTTATGGCGTAACAAGTAATAAACCCTTAAGACTTAAAATAATCTTATTGTCACTTTGAATGTACACTCATTAGCATACATTAAAAAGCAATTTCGTTGCATACAACTCTCAAACCTACAATGAAACTTCATTCAGCTAATAGGAAGCTTAGTTTGGGTAGTAGGTAAACTGCAGGAAATCAGGGGGAAGACTGATAGATACAACTTGTGTGTTGAGCCATGTTTCTACAGTTGGAAATGTTTGATTTTTAAGGAAAAGAAATGCGGACTTGAATGTTAAAGCAGTGGGAGAAAAGTGGGTGGGGAGAAGATGAACACAGAGAGTGCAAAGAGACAGCAAAGAGAGCTGGTGATTACCAGGATGCTGAAAATGTGGCAAGGAAGGAATTTAGTAGCAATCTTAGTTGAGAGAATTCAGAGGATATGGGGATAAAGGAAGATCAGAATAGGATTTCTGGGCAAGGAATATGGCCCAAAAGATCTTGACTCAATTAGAACTGCAAGCTATTGGTGGTAGCAGTGTACACAACTAAACACAAGTAAAAGTTCAGGCATCAGCCAATACCATGATGGGTAAAAGTTTCAGTATGCTATCACAGCCCCAGCACATGGCTCTTCAGGGCTCCGCTCCATTGCACCCACCATTGGTCAACTGAACTGAGCTGCTGCCGCCGCCAGGGAACACTAGAGCAACTGATTGGCAGTTGGATTGGCCTTCTGGAATACTGCCGATCAGCTGTTCTAGGCGACGGGGATCACTGTCTCTGCCTATTGCCGCCACCTATTGCCTCCACTGCCATTTGGTGGTGATTGCAACCCAGCTGATCGGCGGTATTCCGCCGATTCAACCACCGATCAGCTGCTCAGCAGGGAAGGCTCCAGTGTTCCCTGCTGGCAGCGAATGCGGTGGCACCAACCTTCTTCCCCTGCCGCAATATTCGCTCTATAAGACGCACAGATATTTGCACCGACTTTTGGGAGGCGGAGTGCATTTTATAGTGCGAAAAATACGGTAGTTATTGACATGTCTAGATTTGCTCATATGCTATCTTCATCAGCATTGGTTGCTGGTTAAAATCAGCTCCAGATAGTAAGATCTTACTTTTGCTTGTTACAGTAATAATGCCATGTGTGCTAGAATTGTTATTTAGATCATGGCAAATTTTAGATGTGTCAGCAGCAATGTGTTCCCCAGTCAGCAAGAATTCTGGAAATTGAAGACCACACATCTTAAAGTTGCCACAATTGAGAAATACTGTTTTAGACTCATGCTTTAGTGTCCCCAAGTATTCTTAGGAAATAATCCTAGAAGAAAAACAGATTTTTTTTTAAACAGGCATGTGGCTCTAAAGTCCTTAAGAGTTTAAGTATTTTCAAATCAGGTTTAGCTTAAGCCAATGAATATCCTGTGTCTAAAAACAATTGGAAGCTGGTGCCATTTTTGATGTAATGCTATGTTCAGGGTAACAAAAATGAATCTATATGAATCTTGAGATTAGTCAACAACATCTTCTCTTGCAAATCTTCACCTCCAGCATAATTAAAGAGATCAAAAGCATTTGCATTTATTTTTAAACTCTGGTTAATTGCTGCACCTTGGTAATGGCAGCTAGAAATTAATATTATTTATAAAAACAAGTAAACAATAAATCATGGCTTCAGGCGTTGCAGTATGTTTCATTAAATCAGTTTAAACCAAATTCAGAATTTATACACAGTAAGAAACAACTGGTAGTTTAAACCAGGAAGCGGATGTCACCATCTTTTCCTTATGATAAAAATTGGCTTACTATTTCAAAATGATGTTACAAATTTAGCAGCACATACATCTTTTCATATTAAATATGTGGTTTTAAAAAGTGAAAGCTAGATAAATCACAAGGATCTTTTGAACCAAAAAATGTCTGTAGATGTATATGCACCACACAAATTTTTTCAGGGTATAATGTAGCAATCTTCTGAAGCTCCAAGCAACATTCAACCATTATAAAGTCAACGTTAGAATTCATTCTAGTGGGCACTTGGATAATCATAAAATACAAACCTCAATGGAGATGGAAAGTGGCACCATTCCACGAAGGGTGTTCTTGTCAAAGGGATCAAAGACATCATCCCGCATGTTGGCTGGTTGCAACGCAAAGCCACTTTGGCCTCCAGACACAAATAGAGCCTGATTCATTTGCATTGGCTTGTCTGCAAAAACATAGGCATTTCGATGACAAACACCTCAACATCAGTAAAACAATATTGCAGTTTGGTAAAATAATAATAGTGCCTTATATCTGAATAAAGCTCTTCCTATAATTTAGTGTTTGCTGCACAATTCATATATCTGGAATGCAATTCTCCACGCACTGAAGTATTAATTTTTAGCATGAGAAAAATATCTTAAACGCAATATTTCTTTGTAGCAGTCATTTTATTCAAAGAATGCTTATCTTAACTGAAAAAAAGTATTAATACTTTTAAGAAGCCAACACTCTTATTCTTTAAGACTATTGGCAGTTTAAGATGAACAACTTATTTTACTTTGACTTTCTTATTGATTCAACATTGTCCTAGGAAAGAAAGAGGCTCATATGCGCCACTATAGCCAATTATGAGTCTATCGTTTACTTTCTTCTTCAAGCACATGCAGTTCCTATAAAACAGAGGGGAAGTTTTTTATTGTTTTAGTATGTTCTAGTTGTATTAATGTATACAGCTAAAATTGCTGGCCCAACTGAAAATGATTGAGTAGTTAACAACTCCAAATACAATAAAAAGTTTTTAAAGAGACAGAAATTGCATGTTGTACATGCAATCATGTACAACAAAATTAGACAGGGACATAATGAACATTGAGCAGTATGCAAGTGGCAAAAAGATTCAAATTGTTCTCAAAAAGCTGGGCTTTAATAGCTATTGGAAAACATACTGCAGTTGAGACTGTTTGAACTCAAGAGGAAATGCAATTCCAGAAAATGTGGGCACAAATGGAGAAGATCTGTGATAGTTAACAGTCTTGAAGGATTGGAACTCAGAACATTAAAATCTGAAGCAATAACATCTTCATGCAGTAATGTTTGCCAAAATGGTCAAAGTGTGGGCTTCCAGGTATGGCTGAACTGTAGCCCCTGGCATCCATCATCGATGAGCATGAAGTCTACCAGGACACCAATTCAACAACAACTGGAGGGACACACATATTGCCCATTCCTGCCACAGTCACAGTGGTGGGTTTCAAAAATTGTTCGAACCTACTTTGTGGGTGTGGCCTCCTTTGTGGGAGTGGCTTGTCACCCATGTGACCGGATGGGAGTGGCTTGCCGCTCCTGTGACCGGATATGAAGATGCCGACGACACTTGTCAGAACCACCTTAAATTACCTCACACACAGCACTGGCATGCATAAGAATATGATGTANCAATATGCTGACTCTGTAAACCGCTTAGAGAGGCCTGAAAGGCCTATGAAGCGGTATATAAGTCTACTGTTATTGCTATTATTGCTATTGCTATTATTACTTCTGCTGACCGCCAATTGCCAGTAGTTCGATTCTCACAGGCTTAAGGTTGATTCAGCCTTCCATCCTTCTGAGCACGGTAAAATGAGGACTCAAATTGTTGAAGGCAATATGCTGACTCTGTAAACTGCTTAGAGAAGGCAGCAAAGCACTGTGAAGCGGTATATAAGTCTAAGCGCTGTTGTCATTATATTTAAGAGAAAAAGATTAATAAGCATAATAAGTTAAATTTGGGTGAATTCAGACAGTATTATTCAAAGTGATAATTGAAGCAATGGGTTGATTATGTGAAAAGGTAAAAAAAACAAATGCACATCTCTTCTAAAATGATGATAATAATCTTTCCAAAATAATATCATGAGAAATTATTACAGGCTTTGGTAATAAGAACCTTTGGTTTGGTTATTCTTCCCTGGGCCTAGGCAAATTGTCTATTTATCTTATATTATTCAAAACAATAGGATAAATCCCTGCACTAGCTTCCATTAGAGGTTAGAGGATTGCAACCAATGAAAACATGCAGCTGGATCTTAATGTCTTAAGCATAAGAATTCCTAATGGGAGAAGACTCCCAGCCAGTCCTTGAATATGTGTTACAGACTGAGATAGTTTTAAAATTAAGTTTCTATCCCTCATTAAAGCTGTTTTTATTGGAGGAAAGCAATGCAGCTGCCTAACACTACACAAACTAAGACGTTCTGGTTATTGAACAGATCTTTATATACCACAAAACGTAGAAAAGCAAAGTTAGGATTACTACTTTTGCTCATGGCTGAGCAGGCCCAAATACCATGTGATGCAACTACACTGGCTCCCAAATATGGCTAGGTTGAAAAGGCAGGAGTTGACACATTTACTGCAGCTATTGTCAACATACTTCATCTGACTTCTCATTCTCAGTGATGAAATTAAAGACTCCACTGTCTTATTAAAAGAAACACACCAGTTACAAAGATTTCATTTCTTTATATGTCAGCTAGGGCTACATAAGCTTATTCCTAAACTTGTGGATTTCTTACAAAGATACAGTCTAAATCTGTATCTAAATACAGTCTAAACATCTAGATTAACTAAAGGGAAATAATTGTTTCAAAAACCTGAGATAGAAACACCCACCTCTGGGATAAAAGAAAACAGGCTGAAGTTAAAATGGTTTTCACCTGACGTACACAGATTTAAATGGAAGTAAGCATTCATAGTTTTAAGGAAATCAGATTTGTGTGGCATTAGGAATTTTAAAAAAGGACAAATCTAAAAATGGCAAGAAACATGAGCTAATAGAAAAGCTACACATTATCTTTAATGTATTAGGTTATATTTTCCCCCCAAAAGTTATCTTGAAATTTAATTCATTCCGAGAAAATGTTTCATTTTTTTAGTGCAGACTGAACAAATAAAAATACTACATTTTATATTTACAAGCACAAAATTTTTTGGTGGCCACCAACATGGAAATTTAAAAAAAGTTTTAGACAAAGAGTAAAATCTTGCTAGTTATAATCAATATATATTTACCACTAGGCTGGACACACTCAGTGTCATTCACTATGATGAAGAAGCAGGAAAATACTATAGTATTGTTGTAATACTGTAAGACCCTTTCTGAGGGAGATGGGTGGTTTAGAAATATGAAAAATAAATAAAATAAAATAATAAATAATATCCTGCTTCTGGAATTCCCACCATCAGTGGCTGACCACTATGGAAACAAATTGTTGGTCATCATACTATATTTCTCTTTTGCTTATATTGTAAAATCTCTACAAATATTTAGATTCCTTGAACTACATAATCTAATTAGTAATTGCAAGCCAATATCCTAGCAACAGATGATTCCTTTTATATATATATATATATATTTATTTTTATTACATAGACAACACATACACACAACAATAAAAAAACAAAACAAAACAAAAC